ACTATTTGATATGAAGATGAATTTTTACTTAATAAGCAAATGCGGTTAGGTTAATAAAATTTTTATTTTTTTTCATGCTTCTTTATTCAATTATTTCTGATGATCTGCAAGTGTCCTTATATTTATGACCAGGAAGTGTATATTAAAGAGTGAATCACTTTTAGTATTCACTTTAGTATATGTATTACTAGACATAATTCCTTCATCATTATTTTTTTAGAACTAAAAATTTATTAAATTGCATCATCCATGTTTCTAGAGCAAAAGAATTTAACACACTCAATATTGAGAAAAGGCCATGTAAAGGCCGTGGTCACGTGACATCACAGATTACTGAAAATCACATGACAATAAAAATTTTATTGCATTTTTGATTGTAAATTTTTTCTCAAACCTGTCGCTGAGGCGCAATAGATTGCGGGATTAGGTGTCTTGTACCATACAACTCTAAAACTACGTAACGTAATAAATTCATGACTTTCCACAGGGGTAGAAAATCGATTACTATCATCATTACTATTATTATGAAATTTAGTTTTAGTGATTTTATTGCTAACTTCTGTCTCACGACGGATTTCAATAACTTTAATTTCAAAATCATGTCCAGCTCGTGTTGCATTTTGAAACAAATAGATTAAGCTTTTTATAGTACATTATATCAGAAAAACTAACAATAATTACAAAGTAACCGTTACATATTATATAATAGAGGGGAAATTTATTTATCAATTGTTAATGATATTATTTTATTAATTTTAATAGGTTAATAAACTATCACAGGTCAAAAATTGGCAAAACAGCTATATTTAAACTAAGAATTATCGAGGTGTGTAAAGTGGTGTCTGCGACTAAGAAGTTGCAATTTGAGATGTTTCGGAAGAATGTTAGACTTTACTAAGCCTGGACGTCCATTTTTCTGATTATAATTTGAAACTATTGAGTATTTTTTGGTAGGCTCGTAAAATGGTTAAAAACACATGTTACATAATTTTGGAAGTTGTATTACTGTTTAATAAAGCTCTCGCCAAGTTTTTCTTCCTATAAAAAAAAATAAAAAATCATTTTTTCAATGAAAGATCTGCATAATTTTAGCCAATAATATTTGATTTTGGACCAAACTACATATAAAATATTATGCTATGGTCACTAATTAATTTTTACTATGATGCTTATTAAGAATGGTTGATGAAATATTTTGCAGGGCGAGAATCATTTCATCAAACCGTTGTTAATTTAGTCATATTTGACGAAATTGACGAAATTGAAGTTGACCAATTAAATCAATCAAATTTTCATTCCCAATGATCAAAAGGTATGGCTAAATATTGTTTTTATATATCAATAGGACCAAAATTCTACATCCCCTATTATAAGCTTTTTTCCTTTAAATAC